TAGGTAATTGCTCGCTGTGTGGACAGTAGCGAATACCTGTGGTCACTGACAGCCTGTCATTATACTGAATGGGGTGGGCGGTTCCCCCACAGGTGCTGATATCCACAGTTAAAATCCTGTTGCTACAATTCGCACTGGCCCTAATCACCAGTGTGAATGTAACCTAAGTCTGCCTTTTTAATTTAAGAGTGCATTTTCTTTAGTAGTGCATCTTTTTGATGTTGAATTACAATGTACACAAAATGCACTTAAATGGATTCAAGTCAGGACAGAAACTCTCACAATGGCACTGCTTTTTCATGATTGTGAACATTAAAATTCTAAATGTCATTGCATGCACTTATGTCAGTGTTTGACACTCACAAAATAAATGCAAACATCATCCAGAGCATCCAACATATTGTTTAAAGAGGAACTGAACTTCGGAAGCTGCTCTCAAATAAAGGCAGGTGGAGGGCAAAGGGCTTTACACCAATATTTGCAGTGGTATCCCTGTAGCTGATCTTTCCCCATTACCAACTTACCATACTTAGTTCTGTAGCATGTCTCTATGTGGGGGTGGCCATCTTGGCAGAAACTGGGTTTCTTTCTGCAAGTCATAGGCTCCATCAAGGACCTCAATCGGAAACAAAGTAATGACATCACCAAATCTCAGCTCAAATCTCCTGAGACTAGCAGACACTTTTCTTAAAATTTACACTGCAGAAATATACAGCTATGGAGCTAAAGGCACCCTCATATACCATGTTGTGTACTGCTATTTTTCAGATGGAATTTAAGACAAAAAAGTTACATTTTCAGAATACTACTTAGACAAAATAACATTTCTAAATGTTAATTCTAATATATCAAATCTATACTGTACATGTTAACCTTGGATTTACTATAGGACTTGGTGATTAATACAAGTTTTTACTGTATTTATTTAGTTACTTTTTGTTTTATTTTTCTCCTTCATTGGGCTTCTGTATCTGATCTGAGGGGTAGGGCAGTCTAACTCAGGGTGTACCACCCCTATTAAAAACAGTGCGAAAACATTTTGTTGCATAGTGCTGCTACAGAAAGCATATATTGAGTGCTCTGTAACATAATCACAAGCCTAGGAACTGATGCTTCAGCTCCCAGGCTTAATGCTAACTTTGCCATCACTTACAGCCAGCCAATCCAGCAATAAACCTTTCCAGAACTCAACAAACCACTGTTTATTAAAATGATGCTGGGGTAAATAACTGCTAAACTAGAGATATGCTTTATATGGCACTCAAGTGGTTAATAAATTGCTTCCACTCTGAATTCAGTTCCTTTCCTTTTAAAAAATAAATTTGTGTTACAAGTTGTCACAAGCATTCTCAGAAATATGTATATTCCAAAAGATCCATATTCTGTAACCTGTTGTTTTCATTAGCTCTAATTGTTTAGGAACATGGATCATATCAGGGAGTCTAGACTTTTAGAAGAAAAATTATAGTCAGTATAGTTAAACATCTGTTGTACAGCTGTAGCAGTAAATGGTATCTTTTTTTTTTCTTTAGCAATTTAAAGTTGAATCTACCTATCTACCCATATCCTATGTGTGTACGTATAATATATACTATACAGTATACAAAGTGTGTGTAGATAAATATACTGTATATGTATGTGTAATATATATATGTGTGTGTGTGTGTGTGTATATATATATATATATATATATATATATATATATATATATATATATATATACACACTGCATAAATGTATATTTACCTAGAAATTACTGTCCTGATAAAATTATCTAGCAGGAAATTTTTTTTCAAATTTGAAAACCATCCAAGGAACCAGAGACATAAAGCAAAACTCCAGGCATATTTCTTTAAAAATTTATTATTAAGTTCTTAAAAACTTTGAGTCTGGGAATGCTTCAATCTTCAGAGCTGAGGAAAGTGGTCTATGAGCGTTTGTAGTGTCAAGAGGACCCATCCAAGATATCATTGAAATCCCCAGCAATTACCAGAGAAATCAGCATCAATAATATCATACAGCTTCTGTAACTGAAAGGAACATACACATTTACAATAGCTATTCTAGGAGATGTGAGATCTAGAATCAAGACAACACAACAGCCACCCAGAATAATTTGGTAATAGGTACACTGCAGGGATTTACTAATCAAAACAGAGACTCCTCCAGCATACGAGGATTACTCATGTAGATGTCTTTGGATGCAGGGGTGACAGAGTCAGTATTTTTGCAACTGTCCAGGTAGAAGAATAATATAATGCTTAGTATCTTCAGATAAAATCAGGGTGTGTTTAAATGAATTATTCAGGCCTCTAACCGGACCACTCTACTGATTCCATAGAAAGAGAGAAAAGATAAATGGACCACCATGCCCAATATGGCAGTCATTAGAAACTCTCCTTCACCTTGTCTCCAAATGTATTAAATATTCAAAGCCAGAAGGTACTTGTTCCAGGTTTCACAAGCAATGCCTACAGGGGAGTTTAAAAAAATAAAGCCCAAACCAACAAAATCAACACTGATGCTATACCTAAACCTAAAACTCATGCAGTTTTTACCCCAAACAGTACCCAGTTTGTGAGTGTGTAACTATGCATATGCAAAGTCCAACAGTCACTAAGTAATTACCACTCAAGTTTAGGTAGCTCAGAAGTGTAGGGCAATTGTCATCATACAAACACAAGTAGGTGGCGAGGTGTGATCCCCACAGGCTACTAAAGCCATGTGATGATGCCCTTTAAAGAGTATGATAAATAGCGGAGTCAAGTAGGAAGAACTTGGTACAGTAAAAAAGGGGTTAGGTGGGGGACAAAGCTCCTAACCTGACATCCAAACCTGGCAGCAGTATTCTAGAAAGAAGTACTGGGTGGTCTGTGGTACAGACTGTAGATGAGAAACAGCACTCAGAAGATTTCTCCAGGTAGGTCACTGTAAGGAGTCCATCTATTCACTGGCAGTCAAAGAACTTGACCATACCATTGTATTGCACACATAGCTTACATGCTATATTGAAGCTTCCAGTCTCGCAACTGCTTTCTCATTTTAGAAAAGATCTGTGATGTTTTTGCATTTCCAATGTGAATTCTAGGTACAACAGAAATGTTTTCAACGGGGATCTCAAGGAGTGCAAAGGTAGCTGCCAGTACCATGTCCCTGTTTCAGGAAGGGCGCAGAGGGGCACTCGTGGTTGTATCCCCTAGGATTCCTATGGGGAAATACAATCACCGAGTGCTCCTCTGTGTGCCTTTCTGGCACATTTTTAAGATCTCTTGGACATTGTGGGCTGCATTTCAGCCAAAGAAGTGACCTAAACAGCAGAGGCAACCTTTGTCCCTTAAATTGCCTATGAATTTGTCCAGAACATGCTGTATGAGCATACACTTTGAGACAAGGTGGTCAATGCAGCTCCTCAGCTCTGAGGGAATCAGGAAAATTGGCTGCACACACCGCTAGAATGTGTAGCTTTATTAAGACATAACTAATAAGTCCGCGCTTATACATAAGCTCACCAGCTGTACCATGCATAGTTCGATGGCCTAGAGCAATTCCTCAGGCCCCAGCTCTGAAAGCGGAGTGTGATCGCCTGAGGTGGCGACAGCACATGTGTCTCACTCTCTGGGATGCCGCAGAGGTTTAAGTGTAGGTGTATCCAATCTGTTAGCCACCTCAGATAGGCATAATCTCATAACGCAGGGGTCACCTCACCACAATTTAGGAGACATTCAACTTGTGGGGAACAGATTAGTAAATGGATAGATCATTTCAGACAGGATATCTGGAGTCTCTCTAATACAATATATTTACTAAATACCGGGATAGCAACTTGATTTGCTTGAGATGTAGTGGCTTGTTTTGACAGGAGCTTACTTTAAAACTTGTAAATGTTGCTAAACTAAAGCGATTCTGCACAATAAAATTGTTATTGGTGTTGCCCATTACTGCTTTGCTTATATTTTTGAAAATGGGCTGCTAAAGTTAAAGGATAAGTTCACCTTTTGTAACATGTTACACCCACAGTCAGGGTAACATGTTATACATGCATCGGACCTTGCAAACCCCCCCCCGAGTCCCCGCTAGCTGTCACAAACTAAAAAAATGCAGCCATGCAGGGTCCTGCCCGCCAGCCGCACAATTCAGTCACAGTATTCTGTGACTGGGAAAACTATAAGTACTGAGAGCCGGAGCACTGTTGCTCGCTCTAGGTAGTTCATTGAGCTTCCTGTCAGAGCGTAAGTGCCACCAACCAGTGCCCAGCAGTGCCACCCACCAGTGCCACTCATTGCCCAGCAATGCCATCAGTCAGTGCTGCCAGTCAGTGCCACCTAACAGTGCCCATCATTGCTGCATATCAGTGCAGCATCATCAGTGCCTCCTCATCAGTGCAGTCTATTAGTGCTGCCTATCAGTGCAGCCTCATCAACACACAACAGTGAAGGAGAAAAATTACCTGTTTGACAAATTTTATAATAGAAACAAATAAAAACTTTTTTTCAAATTTTTTTGCTCTTTTTTTTGTTTATAGTGCAAAAAATAAAAACCCCAGTGGCCATTAAATACCACCAAAAGAAAGCTCTATTTGTGTGAAAAAATTATAAAAAATTCATATGGGTACAATGCTGCATGACCGCGCAATTGTCATTCAAAGTGCAACAGCATTGAAAACTGAAAATTGGGGCATGAAGGAGGTAAAAGTGCCTGATAGGCAAGTGGTTAAGCAGGCATCTTATGGGATAACATTTCCTTTCTTCAATACTGTTTTTTACATATAAAACCCACTGGTGCATTCTTAACCAGATCACTATTCTTAAATAATCTTTGACAAATGCAATGATCTTTGTACAAGTGTTCTTTATTGTATAGTTTGACCCTATTGTTTAGTTTGAATGCTTTGTAATAACACATGTCTATCCATAAAACCTATTTGTTTGGTTATTTTAGTACTTTAGGTATACAGTTTTGTTCCTGACACTTTCTGTTTAACATATTTTTTTTATTTGCAGGCCTTGCAGTTCTTATCAAAAGCACATAAATGTGAGATTCAAAAGAGCGGATGGGAAAATGACATTTCAGCATTCAAAGAGATAATAAAAGGGGCAATTGGCCTTGCTCATGGTAAGTTCTTTTTTATTATTTTTTCTAGGTTGTTTTGTCCACTGGGCATTTCATTAGCTTCGTTATGTGGTTAAAAATGATTCAGAACTGTCAAAGCAGTGTTCAATAAATAGCTGCTGTTATAAGGAATATATGAAAGTTGTGCTCAGCAGTTTGACTCACTTGTGTTCTGTTAGAAGGAAAGTGTAAGAAAAGTCATCTTGATAATGCATTCCAAATTTAGGTCAGTTGTATCTTTAACTTCTAAGACCTTTAAAAAAGACTACCCTTTTTAGTGCTGACATACACCTTGCTAAGTAACCAAGGAATGCACAGTGTTTTTTTCTTCACTCCTGAAGACTAGGACTCCAGGTAGATAAAAATGTATCCCCAATGAATGTGGTTATGTTGTAATTTAAAAATATTTTTAACCAGTTTACTGCCACTGTACATTTAAGAACAGTGGAGTAGTAGATGTTTATAAATGGCATTGCACAAAATATCCTCAAGCAGCCATTGTGCCCATGGACGATTTTGCTCTGAACCCTCATTAGACAGTTCGGATCATAGACACAACATACAGAGCTAATCAGATGAGCTCTGTGCCTTGTGATTGCTGTGATGACCAAATCACAGAGATCATAGATGTAAACTCTTCCTGTGTTCACGCCAGAGCGCTATCCCCATCCTGTCACAATGGAGGAAAGGGAATAAGTGAGATTTTGTGAATGAATATTATATAAATTAAGGAATCAGCAGTAGCAGAAGGTTCCTGGTGAGGGTTGTAATAGATTGTGGGATTGTTTTGTTTTGTTTGCTTCCATTTTTCCTTTGGCAGGGAGAAAAAGATTCAATGTATCTTTCTCTACATTCAGAGGAAAAAAAAAACTGCATGGGCGGGCTGTGCAGTGTCTGATCGATGTGATGGCCAATCAGAGGAGGCCTGGTTCCTGATCATTATTATGAGACCCGGGGTTCTTGACGAGAGCCCGGTCTTTGTTCTGGGAGTGTGCTGTACAGTGTGCTGCCAGCACGTATGCATATATGCAGCCTCACAGATGAAGGCCTACTTCAGTGAGGCCGCATATTTGTGAACAGGTAGTGGCACCGGGTTAATAATACGCTGTGTCAAGTGCACCATTACTAAGCTTAACCACTTCAATACCAGTAAGTTTCTTCATTTCTAAAAAAAAAAAATAACAGCAAAATGAGATTATTTTGGGGTGTCTACTGTTCAAAAAAAGTCCAATTGGGGGTTTCCCTACTGTGTAGCATTTTTATTTAAAATTTTTCAAAATTGTTGGTATTTTTACTCTTTAGAGTGAAAAAAAAAATACAGTGGTTATTGAATACAACCAAAAAAGGTTCCATCTGTCTAAAAATAAATGATGTAAAATTAATTTGGGTACAGTGTTGTTAAGCAGTCACACTATGAAAACTAAAAAATAGCCTGGTAATTAAAGGGTATTGCTGACTATTATTCTGTTAATACAACTAAGGTAATTCACAGATTTTTTTCTTATTAGTATGTTGTAACCCCCTGAGCAGAAGAAGAGATGGAGAGGGAGGGCAGCATTAGGAGCCAGACAGGTGTGTCGCATGCAGTTTGCTAACATAGAAAATGGCCACAGGAGGAAAAGGAAGGAAGCACTCATCTGGCTGCAGCTGTTCCTTCTTTGCATAGCTGGAAAGGTTGAATAAAGACACCAGTCCATCCAGTTCAGCGTGTGTGCGTGTGTGTATCTACCACTTCCCATATCCCTGTATATTGTGTTCAATAAGATGCTCATGTAAGATTTTTTTTAAATTAGTGACATTTCCCTATGAAACCACTGATTGTGGAAGGGAGTTCCACATCCTTACCCCCTAGGCAGTTTAATTGTCATTTCATGGGCAAAAGGGAGGGAGATGCCCTACTTGTATTGAATATCGGTAGAGAAAATTCAGATCAGAAACCTCTCCATGCTATATGGCAGAGCTGTGGGAATCTCAGCATTGTATGGACTGAAGAGTGAATCCTTTTATAGGTAAAACCATTCACATATACGGTTAGGTCCATATTTGGACACAGGTACAATTTTCATACTTTTGGCTCTGTATGCCACCAGAATAAATTAAAACGAAATAATCTAAATTAATTTGAAGTGCAGACTTTCAGCTTTAATTCAAGGGGTTGAACATAAATATCAAATACAAATTTTAGGAACTGCAGTCATTTTTATACACAGTCCCTCCATTTTCAAGGGTTCAAATGCAATTGGACAAATGAATATAATCATAAATAAAATGTTTATTTTTAATATTTTGTTGAGAATCCTTTACTGGCAATGACTGTCTGAAGTCTGGAACTCATGGACATTACCAAAGACTGGGTTTCCTCCTTTCTGATGCTTTGCCAGGCTCTAACTGCAGCTGCCTTCAGTTATTCTTTGTTTGTGGGTCTTTCTGCCTTTAATTTTGCCTTCAGCAAGTGAAACACATGCTCAATTGGGTTGAGATCAGGTGATATGACTCGGCCATTGCAGAATACTCTACTTCTTTTGTTTCAAAAGCTCCTGGGTTGCTTTTGCAGTGTGTTTTAGATCATTGTGCATCTGTACTGTGAAGCACCGTCCAATCAACTTTGTTGTATTTGGCTGAATCTGAGCTGACCGTATATCTCTAAACACTGCAGAATTCATCTGACTGCTTCTGTCTTCTGTCACATCAATAAACACCAATGAAAATATTAAGTGCAGAGCTAAATAAACAATGTGAAGTGACAAAACTAATTATTATGAGTGCTCAGAAATAAATGTCCAAGTAAATCAAATGTTCGATATCTCCATAAACAAAGTGTTCAATGAGTGTCCATTTACCACCCTAAAAGAGTGTTCTTGATTGTAGACAACACAATTCAGTAATAAATAAACTACCACTGTCTCCCAGTGAATTACAAACTCACCAGAGCTTTTGGCTGCCACTACAGCAGTACAAACGCCAATATAGCCCAGCGGGAACGTAAGTATCTTGTCACAGTAATCAATATGTGAACGGAATTCTCTCTGCCCAGACTCTGGTAAAAGAAAGCTTACCAGGAGCAAGAAATACTTCCAATAGTGTAGTAATTTATTGATAAAACAATATGTATACTCAGTTGCACAAAAGAGAAAAAAAAGCCAGCTTACATATGTGGCCTTGCCAATCCGGGATTGCGCAGTGGCGTGACATCAGCACTGTAACTCCTCCACAAAGCGGTTTATCCAATAGGACGTTCTCAAAGTTTTTTTTGCTGACGTCACGCTGCTGTGTGATACCGGATCGGCAGCATCCACATATGTAAGCTCGCTTTTTTCTCAATGAAAGTCTTAGGCGTAAAGCTAAATTTTAGACAACAAAATCCTAACAAGAATTCAACTACAGGTAAGTCCAATTATTCATTAAACAGATGTCCAGCAGGCAATTGATTATAAAAGGGCATTACTTAACAAAGAAAACCACTTTCCATTTCATGCTGTCAACAATGGCACCACATGAAAGAGAAATGTCACAAGGCCTGAGAAAGAAAATAATTTCTTTACACAAGAAAGGTGAAGGCTACAAGAAGTTCAACAAAGCTCTACTTATCAGTCAGAATACGACGCCAGGCCAAAATATGACTGGGCTAGATGTATTTTACACAGCAAGAGGATAACCAAGGACTCTTTGCTATGTTAATTTTAGGCAAGATCACCTTGGAACTTGGGTGCCAACTTGTTACATTTCAAAGGTAATTTGCAAACTTGCAAGGGTGATACAATGCAGATTGCTCAGTCAGATTTGAAAGGAATTGGGCAGGATCTAATATCTAATAACATGAAAAGGGGTATTAAGTATTGTAAATAGCATTCTTCATTATTCTAATTACCCTATCATCTGCCTTGTACCTCTGTCTTATGAATTGTTCTGAGACCATTAAATCTCTCTCTGGAAAAGACCTGTTGGACGTGTTGCTGTGGGAAAATACATTTATAAATACAGTCGTCATTCTTATGTGATATAAGACAACAACCATCTCACAGAGATGACCAGGCCATCCATGAAAGTTAACACCTTGACAGGGGGGTCTTATGATGCGAAGGGTTGAAGAAAATTGCCATGCAAGTTCACTGCAGCTAGCTAAAGAAGTAGAAAGCCAAACTGAGGTGATTGTTTCCTATGACACAATATGGCATACACTGCAGAGGAATGGCATGCATGGGTGTCTTCCACAAAGGAAGCCTCTCCTAAAGCCCATGCACAAAAAAGCCTGCCTAGAATTTGCCAGGACCCATGCTGAAAAAAGAAGATTACTGGGACTCTGTACTCTGGAGTGATGAGACCAAGATAAATGTTTTTTGAACTGATGGCTTCAAAACTGTATGGCGTCGCAAGGGTGAGGAGTACAAAGAAAAATGCATGGTGCCTATAGTGAAACATGATGGTGGCAGTGTACTTCTGTGGAGCTGCATGAGTGCTGCTGGTGTCGGGCTGCATTTCATTGATGGTATCATGAATTGACAGATATACTGCTCTATATTGAAAGAGAAGATGCTACCATCACTCCGTGCCCTTGGTCCGCACTTTTCCAACATGATAATGACCTAAAACACACATCTAAGTCCACTCTTGCATTTCTGAAGAACAGGGTGAAAGTGATTCAGTGGCGAAGTATGTCTCCTGATCTGAACCCAATCAAACACCTATGCGGAATTCTGAAGAGACAAGTTGAGCATCACTCCCCATCCAGCATCCAGGCTCTAAAAGAGGTCGTTCTTGAAGAATAGAAAGAAATAGAAAACTCAGTTTTGTCAAAATTTGTTCTTGTGTTCATTGAGATATTGATTAAACTCTTACTTTTCAAAATGAGTGTATTCATTTATGTTGAGCGCTTTACTTTCCTTGCTTAATCAACATTTTCTGTAAGACACTGTTCTACAAAATACTCCCACAACTGCGGACCAATGATTGCAAACAAGATTTGTTAATTTGCACACACAAAAAAGTATTTTTCCTGATAAATT